TGGGCCAAAAGAAATCTGATGAGGTTCAATAAGGACAAGTGCAGAGTCCTGCACTTGGAAGGAAGAATCCCAGGCACCGCTACAGACTAGGGACCAAATGGCTAGGCAGCAGTTCTGCAGAAAAAGACCTAGGGGTTACAGTGGACGAGAAGCTGGATATGAGTCAACAGTGTGCCCTTGTTGCCAAGAAGGCCAATGGCATTTTGGGATGTATAAGTAGGGGCATTGCCAGCAGATTGAGGGATGTGATCGTTCCCCTCTATTCGACATTGGTGAGGCCTCATCTGGAGTACTGTGTCCAGTTTTGGGCAACACACTACAAGAAGGATGTGGAAAAATTGGAAAACGTCCAGCAGAGGGCAACAAAAATGATTAGGGGACTGGAACACATGACTTATGAGGAGAGGCTGAGGGAACTGGGATTGTTTAGTCTGCAGACGAGAAGAATGAGGGGGGATTTGATAGCTGCTTTCAACTACCTGAAAGGGGGTTCCAAAGAGGATGGATCTAGACTGTTCTCAGTGGTACCAGATGACAGAACGAGGAGTAATGGTCTCAAGTTGCAGTGGGAGAGGTTTAGGTTGGATATTAGGAAAAACGTTTTCACTAGGAGGGTGGTGAAGCACTGGAATGCGTTACCTAGGGAGGTAGTGGAATCTCCCTCCTTAGAAGTTTTTAAGGTCAGGCTTGACAAAGCCCTGGCTGGGATGATTTAGTTGGGGATTGGTCCTGCTTTGAGCAGGGGGTTGGTCTAGATGACCTCCTGAGGTCCCTTCCAAGCCTGATATTCTATATGATTCTATGATTCCCAGTGACTGCGTAACTTTTGCATGCGTAAGAGAATTTCATGGAACTTTGTGACTTGCTTTCCCCGCCCTGAAGTGCACGAATACCAAGATGAGAACAGCCCTCACAGTTCACAAGCAAGTGGCGATAGCCCTCTGGAAGCTTGCAACACCAGACAGCTACCGGTCAGTCGGGCATCAATTTACAGTGGGCAAATCTACTGTGGGGGCTGCTGTGATCCAAGTAGCCAACGCAATCATTGAGCTGCTGCTATCAAGGGTAGTGACTCTGGGAAATGTGCAGGTTATAGTGGATGGCTTTGCTACAATGGGATTCCCTAACTCTGGTGGGTCGATAGACGGAATGCATATCCCTCTCTTTCTTGGGACTGGAGCACCAAGGCAGCCAGTACATAAACCGAAAGGGGTACTTTTCAATGGTGCTGCAAGCATTGGTGGATCACAAGGGACATTTCACCAACATCAATGTGGGATGGCCGAGAAAGGTACATGACGCTCGCATCTTCAGGAACTCTGGTCTGTATGAACAGCTGCAGCAAGGGACTTACTTCCCAGACCAGAAAATAACCGCTGGGGATGTTGAAATGCCTATAGTTATCCTTGGGGACCCAGCCTACCCCTTAATGCCATGCCTCATGAAGCTATATACAGGCAACCTGGATAGTAATCAGGAGCTGTTCAACTATAGGCTGAGCAAGTGCAGAATGGTGGTAGAATGTGTATTTGGATGTTTGAAAGCTTGCTGGCGCAGTTTACTGACTCGGTTAGACCTCAGCGAAACCAATATTCCCATTGTTATTATTGCTTGCTGTGTGCTCCACAATAGCTGTGAGAGTAAGGGAGAGATGTTTATGGCGAGGTGGGAAGTTGAGGCAAATCGCCTGGCCACTTATTACACACAGACACCAGGGTGGCTAGAAAAACACAGCAGGGCGCGCTGCACATCAGAGAAGCTTTGAAAGCCAGTTTCATGGGTGACCAGGCTACGGTGCGACAGTTCTGTTTGTTTCTCCTTGATGAAAACCCGCCCCCTTGGTTCACTCTACTTCACTGTAAGCCAACCGCCCTCCCCTCCCCCCTTTGATCACCGCTTGAAGAGGCAATAAAGTCACTGTTGTTTCAAATTCATGCATTCTTTATTAATTCGTCACACAAATAGGGGGATAACTGTCAAGGTAGCCCGGGAGGGATAGGGGAGGAGGGAAGGACAAGGCCACACTGCACTTCAAAACTTATTGAATGCCAGCCTTCTCTTGCTTGGGCAGTCCTCTGTGGTGGAGTGGTTGGGTGCCCAGAGCACCCCCCCCCATGTTCTTGGGCATCTGGGTGAGGAGGCTATGGAACTTGGGGAGGATGGCAGTTGATTACCACAGGGGCTGCAGTGGCGGTCTGTGCCTTTCCTGCACCTCAACCATATGCTGGAGTATATCAGTTTGATCCTCCAGTAGCCTCAGCATTGCATCATGCCTCCTCCCATCATGCTGCCGCCACCTCTTCTGTTGTTCCAGCCATCTATCCTCTCGCCCGTTCCTCCCGTCCTCATGTTCATTTTGTGCTTTCCTGGACACTGTCTGCCTCCATGCATTCTGCTGGGCTCTTTCAGTGCAGGAGGACTGCATGAGCTCAGAGAACATTTCATCACAAGTGCGTTTTTTTCGCCTTCTTATCTGTGCTAGCCCCTGGGACGGAGATGCTAGTAGCAGTGTTGAAATATTTGCAGTTGCGGGAGGGGAAAAAAAAGGGAGAGTAAAATTGAAAAAGACACACTGGCCATTTAAAAGGAGGAGCTGATGTTTTCAGGTTAACATGCAGCACAAACCCAACTAAACCCCCCCACGCGCACACACCCCTAATTCTCTGGGATGATCGCTTCACCCCTCCCCCCATCACGTGGCTAACAGCAGGGATGACTTATTTTCAGACACAGGCAAACAGCCCAGCAGGAACGGCCACCTCTGAATGTCCCCTTAATAAAATTCCCCTATTTCAACCAGGTGACCATGAATGATATCACTCTCCTGAGGATAACACAGAGAGATAAAGAACAGATGTTGCTTGAATGCCAGCCAACACCGGGACCACATGCTGCCATGCTCTCTTATGCAATGGATTCTAGACTATGTGCTATTGGCCTGGCGTGGTAAAGTGTCCTACCATGGAGGATGCAGTAAGGGTGCCCTCCCCAGAAACCTTCTGCAAAGCCTTTGGGAGTACCTCCAGGAGAACTTCATTGAGATGTCCCTGGAGGATTTCCACTCCATTCCCAGACACGTTAACAGACTTTTCCAGTAGCTGTACTGCCCGTGAATGCATCCCAAGTCTTCAGGGCAAATAATCATTAAACACGCTTGCTTTTAAACCGTGTATTATATTTACAAAGGTACACTCACCACAGGTGACTTCTCCGCCTTCAAGGTCCGGGAGCCTGGGTTGGGAGGGTATTGGCTCCAGGGTGATAAACAGTTCCTGGCTGTCGGGGAGAATGGTTTCTCCACTTGCCTAGTGTGTGCTATCTTCCTCGTCCCACAAATCCTCATCCCTGTTGCGTGAGACTCCCTTGCAGGAGTCCACGTACAGGTGTGGGGTAGTTGTAGGGGCACCCCCTAGAACTGCATGCACCTCATCATAGAAGCAGTATGTCTGGGGCTCTGATCCCGAGCAGGCTTTTGCCTCTGTGGTTTTTTGGTAGGCTTGCCTGAGCTCCTTAAGTTTCATGTGGTACTGCTGTGGGTCCCTGTTATAGCCTCTGTCCTTCATGCCCTTGGAGATTTTTTCAAATATTTTTGCATTTAGTCTTTTCGAATGGAGTTCTGATAGCACGGATTTATCTCCTCATACACCGATCAGATCCAGTACCTCCTGTTCGGTCCATGCTGGAGCTCTTTTGCAATTCTGGGACTCCATGGTCACCTGTGCTGATGAGATCTGCACGGTCACCTGTGCTGATCAGTTTGCCATGGTGGCCAAACAGGAAATGAAATTCAAAAGTTTGCAGGGCTTTTCCGGTCTCTCTGGCCAGTGCATCCGAGTTCAGAGTGCTGTCCAGAGTGGTCACAATGGAGCACTCTGGGATAGCTCCCGGAGGCCAATACTGTCCAATTGCATCCACACTACCCCAAATTCGACCCTGCGATGTCGATTTCAGTGCTAATCCCCTTGTCAGGGAAGAGTACAGAAATCAATTTTAAGAGCCCATTAAGTCGACAAAAATGGCTTCATTGTGTGGATGGGTGCAGGGTTAAATTGATTTAACGCTGCTAAATTCGACCTAAACTCGTAGTGTAGGCCAGGGCTAAGTTGGACCTCTTTCAAGTCCATATTTAGAAGTGTACCTTTAAAGAAACTTCTACTTTGTGTACTAAAATACATTTATGATCTTACTAAAGATATATATGAATTATGCAATGAAGATGTTAATGAAAAATCAATCATTTCCATTGTAAAGTTTTGAGAATTTGATTTAACAATTACTACTTTTGTCAGCATATAAGTTTATGCATTAGCCAATAGGACTACAAATTGAGAAGTAATCATCAAACTCCAGTAGACAAATAGTATTACGTATTCCAAGTAACCAACTGGCCTGAAACGGATTGTTGGGGGATTGTTTTATTGATATTTGATTTTCAGTGTGCCCACTCAAATGGCAGTTTTCTCATTTAAAAAAAAAATATATATATATATATATTTACTAGTTCTCTTCACTTGTGTATTTTTTTTGTTGGTTTCTTTTCACAGCATCGGTTCCATAACATTTGTTTTAAGCAAATTTAGCAGATAAGCCAATCAGACTACATGAATGAACAAACCTCAGGATATTTTTCAACTCACAGCAAGTGAAATTATTTATCCACAGTCAAAGTATAGCTCAGGAAGTGGCAGGGTGAGCTATCCACCCAGTAAGCCATAACTATACTTCAGAGAGGCTAACTGACTTATTCAATTCTTTGCTTCTGCTGAGTGAATTGACCTGAACTGGAAACTGATCTTACCAAATATAAAAGCTGAGTTAAAAGTTGAGTTATTGTACTCAATGCCTTTTGCAGCAACAGCTTCAGAATAGCCATGCATTCTTATTGGCCAGGAGGTTCCTCTACAGCATGTTATATTTTGTAATACACCTTTTTTTGTTTATTTTTCTACTCAAATTTGGTCTACATTTAAATATTTCAAAAGCAGATGACCCCAGTTTACCTGAGAAATACTGGGATCTGACGAGGACTGAGTAACTTTAATAAGATTTTCCACAAGTGATTTTGCTTCAACTACCGCACTATGTGATGCTCGTCTTGCCGCAGGCACTAGAAGGATGACATAAGAACATAAGAACAGCCATACTGGGTCAGACCAAAGGTCCATCAAGCCCAGTATCCTGTCCTCTGACAGTGGCCAATGGCAGGTGCCCCAAAGGGAATGAACAGACAGGTTATCAACAAGTGATCCATGCCCTGTAACCCAATCCCAGCTTCTGGCAAACAGAGGCTAGGGACACCATTCCTGCCCATCCTGGCTAATAGCTATTGATGGACCTATCTAGCTTCCTTTTTGAACCCTGTTATAGTATTGGCCTTCACGACACCCTCTGGCAAGGAGTTCCAGAGGCTGACAGTGCGTTGCATGAAAAAATACTTTGTTTTAAACCTGCTACCTATTAATTTCATTTGGTGGCCCCTTGTTCTTGTATTATGAGAAGGAGTAAACAACACTTCCTTATTTACTTTCTCTATACCACTCATGATTTTATAGACCTCTATCATATCCCCCCCTTAGTCGCCTCTTTTCCAAGCTGAAAAGTCCCAGCCTTATTAATCTCTCCTCATATGAAAGCCATTCTATACCCCTAATCATTTTTCTTGCCCTTTTCTGTACCTTTTCTAGTTCTAATAGATCTTGGAGATGGGGCAACCACATCTGCACACAGTATTCAAGGTGTGGGCGTACCATGGATTTATATAGAGGCAATATATTTTCTGTCTTATTATCTATCCCTTTCTTGAGGATTCCCAACATTCTGTTTGCATTTTTGACTGCCCCTGCACATTGAGTGGATGATTTCAGAAAACTATCCACGATGAAGCCAAGATCTCTTTCTTGAGTGGTAACAGCTAATTCAGATCCCATCATTGTATAGGAATAGTTGGGATTATGTTTTCCAGGGGGCATTACTTTGCATTTATCAACATGAAATTTCATCTGCCATTTTGTTGCCCAGTCACATTTTTACATTTATTTTGAATAGGTACAAGGGAGACACTAAAGTCTGGCAGAATGTAGGTGTATGCTCTGCTAATTCCCCACACTGCTCTACCGAGGACTCTTAATTCTGGCTTTCACTATCCCTTGCTGTTCCATTCCTGACCTGGGTCTCTCCAAAAAGCTTTGTCAATGCACTTAAATGATGACATTCACCACCACCTTACATTCCAGTCCTGGGCATCTCAGGCAGACTGCTCCTAATACCAGTTGTATGGTAACTTTGTGATGGTGACATGAACAAGACCAAACTCATTTTTCTCAACTAATTCTGATTCTGAACCTTTTAATCTTGTTTTGCAAACTGGGCACTGGTGACAGTAAAGCATTTTAGTGTCCTCCAAACATACTATCAGGGTCAGAAAAACTAGCCAACAAAAACACCCAAGGCTTCTAGCTGAAAAGTGCATTTCTTGTGGAAACATCACATTGCCACCATTAGAGCCACTGAATGAGCATTACAAAAATAAAAGTTGTGTTAAATAAAAACTCCTATTAACATCAAAGCTATATTTCAACTGTATCTTTGAGGAAGTTAATACTAAAGACCAGATTGCAAATTAGTGTTTCCATAGAGAAGCCATCCCACTGCATCAGTTGAAGAGTTAACATAAAAAAAAAAAGTTACCAGAAGGAAACATCTTTTCTTGCGATTGTTTTAGCCTCCTCCTCTCTCTTGCCGACAACGGTCTACCCTTTAAATAAATCAAATCAATATTAATAGTGGCAGTCATAGTGGTTTTTTATTTTGTCATATTTGAAATGAAAACTTTTGTCCAAATAACCTGGAAAAGATGGCTACTAACTAAAGTTTTCAGGCAGTTCAGTATGCATTGTATTAAATTTTTTCCATGGTGATCTTGATCAACAAACCTAATTCCTGTAGGAAAGGAGCCTCCAGCCTCCTTATTTCAATTAAGGGAAAGAGGAGCTGGCTTTCTTTCCTCCTACCTGATCAGTCAGATGCAAGAAAGAAATTTAATCACTGAGGATAACTTCTGTACATTTCTTTTCCCCACCCCACATGCTTTTGGAGTAAACTACTCAGAAGAAATAGTAAGAAAATGACAAAAATAGATCTGAACATAAAATGTTCAGAACAAACCTCTGAAATTGCTCTCTCACTATTTTTAGAGCTATTTACAGACTCTGTGACTTTAGAGCCATGCTGATCTGCAGGGCTGTAAGTTGTCTTCATATTCACATCAGAAAGAGAAGGTAAGGGCCACGGAGCAACTTCTGTGAGCTTAGAGAGAATTAGAAAATGATTACAGTCTCATTTCCTCTTTCAACAAATTAAAATGCTTTGAAATCTAGAACTGCAAACACCAAACTAGCAACCCAGGACTGGGAGTCAGGACTCTTGGGTCCTATCCACAATTCTACCATTGCCTTATTGTCACACACACACTTTTCCCTAACTTCCTTATACTCCTTCTGTCTACATTTCGCTAACACCCTCACAACAAAACCCCATGCAAAAAACAAAAATATCATAGAACTAAAATGACATTTGAAGCTCACCGCACTGTTCACTATGCTTGTATGTCATACCCTTTCCCCCCAATCCTTCGTCTGTCTATTTACACTGTCAGCTCTTTCTGGAGATAGGGATTGTCTCTAACTATATGTTCCATACAGTGCCAACCACAATAAGGATCCAGTCTTGGCTGGGGGTCTCTAGGTACTACTGTAATAAAATAAATAATAATAATGTCATATAATCTTTCTGGGCTTTAATTTGTTCATGTCTCCTAGAAGGATTATAATTTTGTACCTCTGAGTGTTGAGAGGCTTACTGATCATAGACTGCTTTGAAATCCTTGGGCAAAAGGCACCCACAAAAGTATATTTCCAAGGCCCGCAGAGAGTTACTCATTTTGTTATAAATGCAATTCTATGGATGTGTATGAAATGAGATTATACACTGACTGGAGATGGTTCAACTAGTGGAAAGGATCTACAAACTGTTACAATCTTTTTGTAGGATGGAAAGAAAACTAAGATAGAGGTACACTGCCATTTTAGAGAGATACATTTTTATCTGCACCTTCTCTGAACAGACTTCATCTAGCTCCCTTTTCTTCTGCCATTGCTGCCGTGAGAGAGAAGGTTCATAGAAAGAGCTATGAGGCTGTAAGTAAGAAGTGAATTTTTCCTGAACATCTTCTGGATTTCCATGAGAGGCTTCATCCTAAAAAGTAAAAATATTTTTCTAATCTTTAGGCATGTGTTTTCCTGATTCCAATGTAGACATGTTCTTGCATATATTAACAAAGGCCACTTAACCCTTTGGAATGCTACGGATTTTATCTTAATCACAACCACCATAAACAGCTATTTCAAATTAAATTAGAGACAGGAAATACAAAAAAAAATTTAAATATACCACCCCCAAACACACTACATTAACATTGCAACAAGGTGAATATTTTAAATAATCTAAGTTAGAACATTCAAAATCATGCTCCCCATCACAATTAGCACATTAGTTGAACAGGTAACCATAAACAAATTTCACAAGTTCTGTACACTGTCTATCGTAATACTGCAATATCCTGTTTTAGTATTTTACAACAAATATGTGTTAGCAAAATTTCAGATATGTTCCACCATTCTAACAGCAACTTCAGAAAACCAATTTGTATTGCAATAATAATCCTTCTCCAAAAATCAAATATTCTAGGGGAAAAGATAGTCCCCAGACAACAACATTTGAGATTTCCCTTTAAAGAAATACAACTATTTTAAAGCCAACAAACTAAGCAGAACTATAATGGTAGAACACTTACTTGAATTATGACAGGAACAAACGATGCTAGAAGCTTCTCAGTGGAGTCCAAACTCTAAAATAAGTTACTACATTTTCATGAACTAAAATAAGAGCAAGCTTAGTAAAAAGTGTATATATTAGCAATGCGAGAAAGACAGGCTTTAAAAGTCTCATTCTAGAACAGAACTTGGTGAATCACTAACTAAATGAAACAAAGTCCTTATATAGGATTGAATGGTAACAACAGCTGCATATTCAGGACAGACCTACTGTTTAAATCCAAGGCATAAGACACAATAGGGAAATCAACTGTATTTTACTTTAATATACTTTCATTAAGAGTCAAAACATTGCTGGCCCTGTGCATGTGCACCAGAAAGAGGCAAGGGCAAAGAAGCCCCTTACATGAATGTGCTAGGGAAGCGGGTAAGAGAATCATTTTGGCTGCAAATGCTGAAGAGTGCAGGGGAAAGGTCAATGGTCAATGTTTTTGCCTCCACCAATCACCCAAATGACGCACTCTGGAAGCTGGAGAGGAGGGAGGGCCAGGATACTTTAACATTTTCCCCCTTCCCAAGGCTTCTCTTTTCTGGTAGTCTCATTTCTTGTTTACTCCTTCACTCTTCTCTTTAGTAATCACATCCCCATTAAACAAAATTTTCCTTTCCCCTCCTTCAGTCTTCCTTTAAAATCTCTTCATCTCTCTTCCTCCTTCCCTTCAGTTTCTTCTCCTACATTTTCCTTCCACCATCCTCTACCTTCTCTAACTCCATTTCCATTATACTCTCCCTTCCTCCTCCAATCCCCATCCCAAATTAGGGCTGAACATGGCAGAAAGAGATAGAGAAGCATAGTCCATTTGGAATAGGGATGTAGGAGCTCCAAACATTTTCTTGCCTCATCCTTTTACAATTGGAAGCAGACAATTTTTGATCCCAGGCAAGAACAAAGACAATTAAGGTTTGAGCCCCAGCCTTTGTCTTATACAGAAGCAGTGCTGCAGGGATACTCGAGCTTTTAATTGCTTCGGCACCCCAAAGCCTGATTAGAAGTGCCCCACTTTGAAAGGTAACATTTGTTCAGCTTTGTTCTTTCTATAAACCATCTACTAGTTCAACCTTCTACCAAGCACATTTAAGAGTTAAATAATTACCTGGTCATCATTTTGCTTTTGGTCCTTTGAGACAGGCTGCAGGAGTTTCAAAGTGTCATCTCCTTCATCTGAGACAACAGCAGCAAACTGCTTAGAATCCACAATTTCAGTTCTAGAAACTTGCTTTGAGTTTTGCTGTAGTCTATCTTCCTTAGTCTGTGGGCCATTAGATGTTATTTTAGATTCTACTTCACTAGGAATGCTTAAGCACCTTGCTTTGTTATCCTGTAGTAAGTGATCACTTTTAGAGTTCCTCCTTTCAGACAGTAAAATATCAATATTCACTTTGCTAATTGTTGCTATGGAAACTCCTGTGCTGTTCTTCTCATTCTTGTTTGCATTTTTTTCAGGCTCAGCAGCTGGTTTCTCTGAGGGATGAATTTCAAAAGTTTTATCTTTGATTAAATGTTTTTCTTCATTCTGTAATTAAAAAAGCAGAAGTGGAATTACCCTCTGACGAATATTTTAGAAGCTCAAAGAAGTCACTTGCATACCAGACAGTACATAAAGTGATAATGAAACAAAATCATAATCAAGTACTATTTGGAAGCATCGATAAGGGATAACACAAAGGTTTCAGAGTAGCAGCCATGTTAGTCTGTATTCGCAAAAAGAAAAGGAGTACTAGTAGCACCTTAGAGACTACCAATTGGATATAACAAAGACTCTCATAAGCTATAAAGTCTGATGAGAAGCTTGGGACTTCAGATGTCAACACAGCCTATTCCATAAGCAATGCACCCACCTTGCCCCTATGACCACAAGTGATAAACGGGCTCTCCAAAATGTATTAAACCACATGTTTAAGGCTTCAATATTAAAAACTAACATCAACTGGCAAACAGTGCAGAAAATGAACAGCGGGCAAGTGATTAATCTTTGTGACTTGATCTATTTGGATTACTGTAAAGTATTCACCTCTGGTAACAAGCAATTTTCCTCAAACATATAATCATTTTCCAGTCACAAGCTGCAGCAAATATTTTCACTGTCAACATTTGCCTGTCATTAAACATTTGCATTTCAGTTAGTCCAGTGACTTCAGATACTCTACTGGGTATACAGTGTCACAGCATTCACATGATTGTGCCATATGCAAAAGTTTATGCAACTGTATGGTTAAAAAAAATCCACATAACAGCTTCACAGAATAAGGATTAGGTATAATGTTTCATGAGTATTTTTCAGTAAAGATCAGTGCAATTAGTTTTACTAATTCGTGGCTATTTTAGCTCCAACTGTAGATGAATACAGCTCCTTTCCCCCTTTATATGTTGTTTACACAGTTTTATTGAATACAAATATATTAGGAAATCACAAAGCATTTCAAAATATATTTTTATATCATGTCACTGAATATTTACACAAATAATTTAAAAAAACCAATGTATCCTTTGGAAAAAAGTAACTTACGGCACTTTCTCTCCTGGCTTGCTCAGAGGGATGTTTTTTGGGTGTGATGTTTCCATTATTAGATCGAGTCTTCACCGAGATCACAGAAGCAGCACTTCTGGGTATAGAATCAGATATTTTCTGATGATTTTTGGCTGTTTTTCTTTAAAGAAAATGACAACAACAAAAAAAGGACAAAAATAAGATGTTTGTGGTTTAGACTACCTTATTAAATAGATGCCATCCATCTACAGAAGATGCCATCCATCTACCCTTTTACATTTGTAGAAAATATTTTAAATTTCCACTAATTACAGAGTTTCTATCTGAAGTGCTAAACACTGGGCTTGATTTTCTCTGCTTTGTATCTTGTATAGCAGTGATCTCCAACCTTTTTATGCAGAAGATCAGTTTTTGATTTAAGTGTGACCCAGGAGCTACCCCGCCCCTTCCCTGAGGCCCCGCCTCGCTCACTCCATCCCCCCCCGTCGCTTGCTCTCCCCCACCCTCACTCACTTTCACCAGGCTGGGGCAGGAGGTTGGGGTTCGGGAGGGGGTGCGGGCTCTGGGCTGGGGCCCGAGGGGTTCAGAGAGTGGGATGGGGCTCCAGGCTGAGCCTGGGGCAGGGGTGCGGGAGGAGGCTCAGGGCGCAGTCTCTGGGAGGGGGCTCAGGGCAAGGGCTTCTGGGTGCAGGAAGGAGTTTGGAGTGTGGGCTCCTGCAAGACAGCACCTACCTCGGTCGGCTCCCGGATGGCAGTGCAGCAGGGCTAAGGCAGGCTCCCTGCCTGCCCTGGCCCCATGCCACTCCCAGAAGTGACCAGCACACCCCTGCAGCCCTTGGGTGGGAAGGGCAGGGGTCCCCGTGCACTGTTTCTGCCCACAAGCACCACCCCTGCAGCTCCCATTGTCTGCAGTTCTCCATTCCCAGCCAATGGGAGTTGTAGGGGAGATGTTTGCAGGCAGGAGCAGCGCACGGAGACCCCTGCCCCCACCCCTTGCCCCGGCTGCTTCCAGGAGTGGCATGGGGCTGGGGCAGGCAGGGAGCCTGCCTTAGCCCTGCTGCACTTCCGGACTTTTAGCAGCTGGACATCGCAATAGACTGTCAGAGGCTATAGGATCGACCAGTTGATCACGATCTACTGGTTGGTGACCACTGTTGTAGAGTCATTTTCAGCTGTGCAGAGTTAGAATGTTAGTGGTACTTTGCACTGATTTGGTAGTAATTTATATCCACTTTGCATAGGTGTAAGTGACTGCACAGTGTACAACCAAGACAATAAGGCTCATCCATTTGGGGAAAAATATTTGACAATTAAGTTTATTGCCAATAGGTCTCAAAAACTGGGAGTAATGAAGTAGTTAACCAAATCTGATGACAAAATTTTATATTCAACTTTTTTGTTGAACATCAAGTTAAAAACAAGCAAATAGCAAAAGCAACTTGTCTTTTGGTGATTTCAAATATGATGAAGTGGCCTTAACACAGACCGATAAGAAAACGCAAGTGACAATATATATTTCCTATCCATATTTCGGATTTATTGTCCGTCTTTATCTCACTTTTCTATTTGGTGCAAGCACGATCACAGATTTACCATAGAACTTGGAATTTGCACAGAGTTTATTAACCAGATGATTTGTAATTTTCTCAAATGTCACAGAATCGTTTCTAATTTTTACCACTATCTCCTCTCAACTTGTGAGCTCACTCTGGTCTGTGTACGCTGGAATGGTCAGCAGGAAAGAAGCAGTCCTGTTTTTGTTTTATTTAAATATGAGATACATGAACTGGCATAAACGCAGTGACTGGGGAGAGTGCGTCTCTCATTATTCAACATCCTCCCTCCCATAATCCAAGATTTTTCCTCCCCCTTTCATTGTCTGGCACTGAACGAAGACCAGCCTCCACAGGGTCTCGCATGTCCCAATCTGAAAGCTACTTCCCCCTCTTCTTAAGCGACCATGATGCTCTTCCTCCAGCCAGAAAGAAGAGTAAAGAGACCCTTCAGAACAGATCCTATAGATGTGTCTATACTGCAGTTAAAAACCCACTGCTGGCCCATCTCAGCTGACTCGGGTTCGTGGGGCATGGGGTACAGGGCTGTCAAATTGCATTGTGTATGTTTGGGCTCAGGCTGGAGCCCAAGATCTGGGACCTTTGAGGGGGAGGGTCCCAGAGCCCAGGCTCCAGCCTGAGCCCAAACATACACAAAAATTCTACAGTCCCGCACAGCCCAGTGAGGTCAAGTCAGCTGACATGGGCCAGCTGCAGGTGTTGAACTGCCGTGTAGACATACCCAAATTCTACTCTGTGCATTGGTGGAAAGGTAGTGCTCATGCAGCTATCTTCCTTTCATCCGACAGTCCAAGTGTATCACAGCTGCAAGAGACTTCAACCTTATTAGTGCTGAGAGTCTCAAGATTACTCCCTAAACCAGGTCTTCTCCATTGCTTCAGCCAAGCTACCTTCGATTTTTAATTTTATCAAATTGAGGATTACAATGGGATTCTCCGGTTGTCAATTAAAAAAAGAACAACCTCCGATTTTCTAAATAAGATGGTTAATCAGGGAACAATCTATGTGGCAGATCACTTTAAAATTCTGTATGCCCACAATACTTTGCTCCTTTATAGCACTTGCCTTTTGAGGATCTAATTGTTTTAAAATATTAATTAATCCTTACAACTTTTCTGTTAAGTAGGTCAATATTACCATGACCATTTTACAGATGGGGAATACTGTCAGACAGGTTAATTAACTTGCCTAAGGAGCCTCAGTTCCAGAGCTATGAAGAAAACCTGGGGTGTCCCATACTCTAATAAGTAATCTATCCTCCCATCTTTCACAAGTTATAATATACTAAAAATCAACAGTGGACATGAACCAAACAATGTGGCATGTTTTTCCCAAATAATGGATACATTAAGAATAAGGTTTTTAGTTTTTCTATAAAATTAAACACTGATTCATTGCAGTTTATTACTAAGTGCTCCTAATTAGGGCAGCCAAATACAACTTCTAACATTTAATCAGGTAAGACTTTTCTGTCTGGCTGGTTTCAAACACTCGAAGTGGACAAACAATAGGAGGATTTACTTTCTGAAGGTAATATGCAACCCCAAATTTAAATCCACTTTCCTTCTACATAGGCCTAATGTAACTAATTTCCATCCTCTCTTAGTTGTCTCTCCTGTAATAGTTCTCAAATAATTTCTTCCCTCAACAATCTCAAAAGATCCTTTCTGCCCCATACCCTGCAGTTACACACAGCAAAACTAACTTCAACATCCTGCTCCGAAATCTGGCAAAAATTGTAAAACAATGATTACAACATTATGCTCAACAATCTGTTACGCAAACCAATAGTTTTATATAGAACTATTAATAAAATAAATATATCTTACGCCTTTGTGGCTTCCAAAAACAGAGAGATTTGATGCTTGATATATGGTTGCCTTAGTATGCTTTTCACATTGGGTCTTTCTTCAGGCTTTTTGCTAAGCATAGTTCTTATTAGTTCTGCCAGTTGTGGACTGTAATCCTTTGGCATCGGTGGCAGCTGTAATTGTATTGAAAGGATACATTTGATTATGGGAATGAATGGATTGCTAATTTTCATAATAGGAAGCTAATGGTTTTTGTTTGCTGTACATTGATGTAGTCATCAAAACAATTAACCCATTTGCCTGCAGGAATTGCTGCATTATTTGAGCATTAGGGCTCTGATTCAGCTAGGTACTTAAACACATCCCTAACTTTAAGTACAGTAGTCCCACTGACGTCAATAGGACAGCTCACATACTTAAAGTTAGCGAAGTGCTTAAGTATCTTACTGAACAGAGGCTTGTGTAAAGTTTAATGAAAGAACTCTATATAATTTTTTTCTTAATGAACAGCTAACCACAAAATATGGCCAATATACACAAAAGATTGCATATAAAAAAAATGAATTCCCTGGTAAGCTGGATTCAGAAATTTTAAAGCAAGGTATTCAAAGCTGGTCAGTTGTGCTTTGTAAGATTTGCAAATGAAAATCTAGTCACAGAGAATCTTCAGTTTATTTAAAACATTTTTGATACAGCTGAAGATCAGGATTTAAATTTGTTTTATAAGATGCCAAACCAAATCAGGAATTAATTTATAACATGCCAAACCAAATCAGGACCCCTCAGGAGGTCATGAGGTTATTACATGGGGGGGGGGGGGTCGTGAGCTGTCAGCTTCCACCTCAAACTTCGCTTTGCCTCCAGCATTTATAAGGACGCTAAAAAAAATAAAAAAGTGTTCTTAATTTATAACAGGAGTGGGTCTCACATAGCAAGCCTCTGAGTGCAAGGGGTCACCAGCACAAAAGGTTTGAGAACCATTGTGCTAAAGTAATCCAGCTGTATATGTCAAACAAGAAAACACCGTGATATGATTCTTCGCATAATGTTAAAAGTGGAAACTTTATACTCTAAAGTGTTGAAGTGACTTACTTCCTCCAATCTACTAGCTGCACAAGGTGAACAACAAAATTCTAGTGATACCTTAAAAAGAAACTACTTTCTGGATCTGCCATTACCTCAGTAGGTACCCACATCTCACACGAAACATTAGAATGGACAGGATGATGCAGTTTTCTCATCACACATGTGGAAAAAAAATTATACTAACCCCACAAATGAGAGTTGAAATTCTTACTTTTGATTGAAAACAGTTATCTCAAGTTCCCGACACAAGAGTGGACTACAGGTCTGAATATACAAATTTTGCATTTAAAAACCATGATTCAGTATCCACATCAGAAGGATCTTCTTACTGTAGCATATTTCCAAAATGTTTTCACTGAACCAAAAACAACTTTAGATCAGTTTTTACCTTTCCTTCAATAATTCGATAAACTAAAGAGTTCATGTCTTTAGCGTTGAAGGCATGTTTCAGTGTGGCCATTTCATAAACACAACAGCCCAAAGCCCAAACATCAGACTGTGAAAAGAAAACCAGAAAAATCAGCATAAGCGCTTCAGATGCAATACTGAAAATTTATTTTTAAAAAGTAGATAATATGCTCCTGAACAGCCCATTAGGAACAGAATGTTATGCTGAGTTGGCAGCCACTATAGTTAAGATCACAACCAAATTCCATTATAAACTTTTGGTTGCGGACTCAGGTAACGAAACTGGTTTGTACTGAGTATGGCCATGTTTACTCTGAAGGGTAAGAAGAATTTTTCTGCAAAGCGTGAAGAGAGTCGGTCTGTTTTTGAGTTACAGATCATTAAAAAATTATCCTGATTTCAAATATTGGTTTGTCTCTAACATTTCTTTGAGTTCCTTTAGCTTCAAAGAGTTCTGAAACTAATTCTTTCTTCAGACTTCCCATATAATTACATCTCACTGAAATCTCAGGCATAAACTATCTGCAAATAATATAGATTGCAATTAAGCAAAGTTATGTCCATAATGTTTAAGTCACAATCCTGTACTGTGAACTATACATGCAGATTACTGCGCCCATGTAGAACTCCAGACTTTCAATGGAGCTCCGAGCAGCGTAGCAGCACATCAACATGAATCATGAGCTTCGTAATGCAAGTGAGGGAGAGAAAACATTTTACCCACTGGTGGCCAGATGCAGCTTGGAGAAAACTGAAAGTCTTTCTATATTTATAGTAACAGAAGTTTTTCCTTAGTTCATGTTTTTGGTACATGTGGCCGACAGCTGCAATTTAATTAACGAAGGGGCATACTCGTGTTTTTTTAAATACGTAATGCAATATTTCACATGTACATTTATTTAAAAGACTGTATAAGCTATGAGTATATTTGAATATTGATCTACCTTCCCTTACATGTTTATCTCCATACTCGTAAATGCTTATTAGGTTTTTTTGGTTTGTTTTCTTATTACATATATAATAGCAATTTTAAAGATAAAGCCTGTCACAATTATCTTAGGCTTCATATGCCAGTGTCCTATCATACAACAAAGGTTTTTCTTTGAACTGGAATTCTAACTTACACGGACACAGTCGATTGACAAAACCTGGTCCTAACAAATTAACACATGTTGACAATTCACACACACTAAAGAAAAACTAATTTCCTTTAAGATAACTTTTTATGATTAATTTTTTCCCCTGTTGGTAATAGTAAAAAAGGCAGCAAAAGTTCATCAGTAGTCCCCAAAAAGTGCTTTTTACAGAGGCATTACTTTCATAACACACAAGATTGTAGTGCTCTATGGTTAATAGGCAAGTCAACAAAATAACTCGCATTACTCTTCTAGATAATTTATAAACTTCTCAGAGTTTAAGGCTCCCTTAAATCAACTAACATAATTGGGGCCAATATTTGCATCAATATACTTTACCTTGTAGTTGTAAGGTTTGTTGGAGAACAATTCAGGACTCATATAATAAGGTGTGCCAATGAGAGTACTGGCCATATCATACTGATTTTCTAACACTCTGGCTATTCCCAGATCTCCCACTTTGATAATATTTGTCCTTGTCAGGAAAACATTTTGAGTTTTGAGATCTCTGTGTAGAATGTGTTTTTCATGTAAATACTGAAAAATAAAGTATTTCAAGCAAGTTAAACAGTTAATTTGTTCTTTTCCTCTGACAAGAGTCAAAAAAGAAAAAAGTACAAATGCAACAAAACTACACATCACTATATAAGAGATGAATTACAGTTAATAATCACACTAATCTGTTCATGTCAACATATGTAAATACCCAACGTCGTTATTTCTTTAGTTTAATGTGCCTATATAGAAGCAAAACGTGCAAAATTGAGGCTGAAGCTCAGTCCTTAACTCACTCTCCATTGTGTCTTCATATTGCAACTGATTTCTGATCCAATCCTGCAGTCCTAGTAAGGAATTTTGTCTGAATTAAGGACTTTCAGAAGTCAGTGGGAATTTTGCCTGAGTAAGAACTGCAGGATTAGGCCTATGATGAGCAAGATCAGATGCTGTTGTGGACATTTGCATTCCTAGCCACAACAAACAAATGTAGGAATGGCCCGATATTCGGTCTTCCAATAATAGCCAATGGCAGATGCTTCAAAAGGGAATGACAAGAAGAGGGCAACCATCAAGTGTTCCACCCTGTCACCTAGTCCCAGCATCTGGCAGTCAGAGGCTTAGGGATATCCAGAGCATGGGTTGCATTCCTGACTATCTTGGCTAATAGCCATTGGTGGACCTATCCTCCAGGAACTTATCCAACTCTTTTTTGAATCCAGTTACAGTTTTTGCTTTCACAATATCCCCTAATGACAAGTTCCACTGGCAAGTTAAAAATAGAATTTTCAATCCAACATCCTAGTTTCCTCACTATTGTCTTTAAAACAAACCTTACTGTAATGAATTTTTTGTGATTTGATTTCCTTTCATTTTTAAAATGTAACAGACTGAAGCAGCTTCCACTAGAAATTAGGAGTTAATGGTCTGGAGATTTTCACTTAAAATTTAATTTAATTACAGGAGCAAAATACTTCTGCAAGTAGTAAGTTTTTTTGTGCAAACACTTGTTGGTTAAAATTAGTTTTTAAGATGTTATCAATAAGTTTCAGCACAGAGAAAATTTGTATAATTGAGTTGCAAACCCATGGAAACAGAGGGTTACGAATAACAGAAACAGCCCCTTAACTAGAACAAAACTTGCTTATATTCAGAACTTTATAGTTATGGGCTACAATGAAAATTAACTGCCAACCATCATGTCACATTGTCTACAATACTGAAATGATGGAAGTAAAGCATACATCAGCAACTCTTTTTCTACATGGCTACCTTAGGTTGACATTGATAATCTGTAAGCAAAGTTAACACACCAAAACTGAAATTAAGGGATTTTTTTAATGGAAAGCAAGCAAAAACAGACCTATTTCTTTTAAAACGAAGAGGTTATATGTTAAAGTATATTAATACCTGCAATGCCATGGCAATCTGGACAAACCATTCCACCACCTGATTCTCTGGCAAAGGTTTACCTCTCTGCTCTTTAAGTTTATGATACAGGTCCCCTCCTTCACAGAAGCCCATGACAATATATAACAGGCCATCTTCCCCCTCCCAGGACTCCCTATAGGTGACTATGTTGGGGTGTTTCAGCTGAGACAACAACTGGGCTTCTTGTTCTGCTGCTTTCCTCTCTCGGCTGGATGCATGTTTAAGGTTTAGCTTTTTGATGACGTACTGGGGGGGAAGAGGGGGAAAAAAAAGATTTGTTATGAAAACATCCAATCTACTATTGAAACACTAGCAAATTCTAAAAATCTATAAAACAATGTTTTAAAATACAGAGTTACATTTAACAGTGTCCATGTTGTTGTAAGAATGGAACAAATATGGCTTCCCATCACGAACGCACAAAACTGAAATTTAAAACTTTACATATATTATAATTTTAAATCTAAATGCCACCATTTGTATTCTCTTCAGGTAGGTATTTAACTGGTATCCTTGCCATTTGCCTTCTTGACCATCCTTAATGTCTATCCTTGTGCTCATCTGCAATAGTTATCATGCCATGTGCAAATTAGAGGGCTAGTAAATAAGGTATTGAAAATTTTGAAGGAGAGTAAAAATTGATCAGATCTTCCCTTTTGCTCTTTCCTATAATACAAGAACAAGACACAAAGAAATTAAAAGCAGGTGCAGTTAAAACAAAAGGTAATAATACTTCATTTCACAGAGTGGTGCCCTTGGACAACTTAGCATGTAGTGTTGTGCAAAGAGATCAAAAGTCCAAATCAGCCTGTTACATAAAATTGCCTTTAAAATTTGCTTACTTTCATAAGCAAACTATGGTACAAACTGTACTGTTTACATTAAAAAGAATCATGATAAGGGCTCAAGGCTCCTGCTAAAGTCAACGGTTAACATGACAATGAACTGAAAGATTCTACAAGTAAAGGGAAATGTTTGTAGTAGGAGTAACTGCAACATATTCCGATTGGTTAATTTTAATAGGATGAGGATGCTACCCTTTCTTGGACATTATTTATCCAGGAGTCACTAAAGAGGGTCAGTGGGGTGTATGGAAGGGAAGAAGCAAGCTTTACCCAGATGGCTACCACCTCCACAGTCTCCAGAGACCCACCATGAAACCATTGGGCCTTTGCTGTCTTGATCCTCAAAGATATCCTGACCAGACAAAAAAGGGAACCAGACACCACCACCTCCATCAGCTTCAGCTAAATCCTGAATGTAACATGGGACGTGAACCTTAGATTCCTCCCTCATGTTGTTTTCCTTCCGCACTTTATTTCTTCCATTTTCTTCTAAGCCTGCTAAGACACCATTCACAATGCTGTTGTGACTTTGACAAGAGGGGCACGCTAAAACAATGCCTTAAAAGCAATGACTTAAACTTTGCCACTGTTGAATGTGCCAGGTCTTGTAGTGGCGGATATAACCATGTACTGTGCCTATGTTTCTCTAGCAATGAGGCAGCAAGTGAAAGTCAGCACCAGAGACAGAAAAATGCATTTTCTATCTTTGTAATTCTTCTCCCCCTTGAGTGTTTGTCCTAAAGGATCAGATTAAAATATCTCAAAACCTTCTATTTTAACTCCAAAAGGGCAGTTAAAACCATCCAAAAGACTATCAATGCAAGGTTTTTTCCCCCCTTAATGAAAGCCTCTATACAGCTAAAAGAAAAGGAAATTGTTAAAATGAAAACACAATTCTTTACATTTTGAATTTTTAAACTTATCTTTTTCTATTTAATAAAACTTTAAAAATGTTATGATGGCATTAAACCAACACCTATTTAAAATGATACCCCAGACCACACTTAACTGTGTAACATTTTAACATAGTGAACAAGGGTTTTATCAACATTTTCTCCTTTGTTTGAATCAAGATAGCCCTTTTCCAAAAAAATTGTAACCAATTTGTATAATCCCAGAGATCAGCACTAAACACCATGGCTGGACAATTTTGTGACTGATATCTCAGAACGTATTACAAAAACGTTAAGGATAATAAAATCTCCATGCTTCAGAGCATAAATTCTCGCAAGGGTCAGGAAGGAATGGCCCCTTGCAATGCACAGCAGCCTAAATGAGATCACAGAATCAGGTATTGTCCACACTTGGAGGCAGAGCTGGACCAAGAGGAGAAAGGACGGTCTTGCGGTCAAAGAACTGGCTAAGAACACAAACCAACCACTCCCCTTGGAGCGCAGGGGGATGGGACGGGGGAGCCAGACTTCCCTGTACCCTGGCCCTCCTCCTCACACCATTCTCCAAAGGCCCGGGGGGGGGGGGCGGTGTGGTGTAAAATCGGGACATCGCTTCCCCAGATCGCCCCACAGGACAGGGAGAGAAACAGACTCCGCTTCCCCAGAACCCCCACTCCTCTCAGCGGGCTCCGGGACTGAGGAGGGAGTCGGAGCCGCCGCAGGCCTCGGGTCTGAAAGGGGAGGTCGGAGCCCTCCCGCGGCCAGTTCCCCGGTTACCTGTCTGTTGTCCTGCCGGTGCCGCACCAGGCTCACCTCCCCGTAGCTGCCCTTGCCCACGGCCCGCAAGAAGAAGTAGGCGGCCAGGGGCATCCTCCCAACCTCCGGCGGCCCCTCAGCGCTCGGGGGCCGGAGCCGCTTAGCTGCCCAGGCGCCTTACGAACGTTACTGCGGCTGCCATAGAGATCCCCATGGGCCTCCCTCGACCATAGAAAAAAAATCGCACGTAAACACAAGCCCGCCTTCCTCTCTATGGTACAACTCTTCACGTCAATGCTATGGCCATCTTGGATGTGGGCAACCTCCCTCAGTCACCTAAGCAGCCATTACAGATGTGGGCGTCCTCCCCGGCGGCCATCTTGGATATAGGGTTCCTGCTAACCTAAGCAGCCATCTTGGAATTTGAAAATTAATGCCCCCAGTATTGGTGCTAGCAGCTAGTGTCTCTACAGTGGGCCTGCCTGATGTGGCCCATACCACAGGTCTCCTGCCCAAATGAGAGGCTGCTCTGATTGTCTTCTGGCCTGGAGCCAAAACTCTTCACCTGAGTGGCACAAATGGAGAGCAGCAGCATGTGCTTCCCTACTCACCCTCTCAGGGCAGCTGACTTATCCAGTGACAGCAGGCCCAGCATGCACCACTCCATCACAAACCAAGCAGTGCGAAAACCCTAGGTGCGGCCCACCTAGAAGTCAGATGTCAGCATGCACCACTCCACCTCAGGCCTACACTGATGCAGTCCATCTAGGGGACAGGTCCCAGCATGCAATGGTCCACTTCAAGCTCACAATGGTGCAGTCCACATAGGGGACAGGTCCCACCTGCAGCATTCCACCTCAATCCTAGCAGGGTTGCAGCCTACCTAGGAGATGTATGTCAGGTACCAGCTTGTTGGGGACACTGGGGCATGGCCACTAGGTAACTCGAGGGGATGGAAGACCACGAGTGTCGATGAAGCCCCCTCGCACTAGGCCCAGGTGTCCTTGGCCCCCCTCTCCCGCCTGGAGGCACTCGCAGCAGTTCTGCGTACTAGGCCCAAGTGTCCTTGGCCCCCCCCAGCCTGGAGGCACACACAGCAGTTATGCTGAGAATCTGCAACAATATGTTGCAGAGTCAGACTGCCTGAAACTAAGCAAGGCCACACAGGGCAGATATGGAAGAACAATGCTGAATAAAGCAGCTTTATGTATAGTTTAATAAATGATACAGAGAACCAGGGAACTAGCTGGGAACTGGATTGGCTGGCTATATGGATACTTGGGGCAGCTTGCTATTAGATAAGTATGCTGGGAAAAAGGATGTATAAAAGCCTGTGTAACTTCCTGCTCTGTGTACAGGATTTGAGATTCAAATCTCCCTGTACCTATTTGAAGCTTCAAATAAACTTTTCTGCTTCTCCACCCTGTTGTGATTATTGGGTGTAGCACACCGGGTAATGAACCAACTTCAGCTGTTGTTTAGCCTCTTGGCACTGGGTGCCGGCAACAGCTTTTGGCGTCCCTGGGTGGGCGACGAGGCTGCAATTTAGCATTGCCCGACCCCTCCTGGAGATCGAGGATTGCGGCAAGAATCGACGCCCAGCACGCACCGGTGAGTTCATCGGGGGCCTCGGAGGAGACGCGATTTGATCGACCCCGGAGGGCACAATGGTGCAACGCACTCATATAGTGGAGAAGCAGTTGTGGACGGCGGTGAAGAACCGGTCCCTTAGACATGGGGGAGGAGCAGCTGCAGGCCACGGTGAGGTCCCTTGGATAAGGTAGGAACCTTTTAAAATCCGGATTGTATGCTCTGTTGGAACCTGGGGACGCCCAGAGTTACCCTGTAGGTATGGGACAGGGACAGAGCTCAGGGGTTAGGGCACGGTGTATGCCCCTAGAGTGCATTCTAGCAAACTGGAAGGTATTTGGTGCGGATCCAATGACTAAGAGCCAATTAAAACAATTCTGTACAGTTGACTGGCCTCAATATCAACTAGAGGACCAGGAGTGGTGGCCACCAGGAGTGTCAATTAATTACAACACGATCCTCCCATTAGTTTTGTTTTGTCAGTGAATGGGTAAATGGAATGAATATTTGTATGCACAAGCGTTTATGGCTTTAAAAAATAAAACAGAGCTGTAATTCTGCAAAGTTGTAATTTGACTCCGACTGGTTCGGTAGTAGCTAATGTTAGTCCCCAGACCCCCACCCCCACTGTAATGGCAGAACCGGTGTCTCCTTCGGCCCCCACACCTCCACCATATAAGGGTAGGATGCCTCGGGTTACAGAGATTGCCCCCTCGGTGGGACTCTATCCTTTGCTTACCGAGACTGTTGTGGCTTGCCCAGGGGCAGACGGACGTCAGGCTACCACTATGCAAGTTTACACCCATGTGCCATTCAATCCAATAGACTTAGCAGCTTTTAAAACACAGGCTGGGGAATTCTCAACGAACGCAAGCAGGTTTATTTCAGTCTTTGAGGGGTGCCTCAGTAGTCACAAGCCGATTGAGACAACTGTAATATCCTCCTGAGAACCCTGTTGTCTGAGGTGGAGAGGGATCAGGTTACAGCTAAGGCAAGGGGAGCGTCAGCGTTCAAGTGAAAAAAAAAAAAGAAAGGAATCTATCTGTCAAGTTCCTCTCCAAATAATTGTAAGCGGCTCAGGGCATTTCTGGGTATGGCAGGCTTTTGCAGGATATGGATCCCAGAGTTTGGACTGTGGGCTAAACCCCTGTACGACTGTGTAAAAGGAGTGGATCATGACCCCTTCTATTGGACCCCAGAGGCTGATAGGGCATTTAAAATCCTGAAAAGAAAATTGATGGAAGCCCCAGCTCTGGACCTGCCGGATCTCTCTAAGCCGTTTCAGTTGTATGTACATGAACGAAGGGGGGTGGCCCTAGGAGTGCTCACACAGCTGTTAGGAGCATGGAGACGTCCCGTGGCTTATTTTTCTAAGCAATTGGATCAGGTTGCAAAGGGCTGGCCGGCATGTTTACGGGCGGTCACAGCTACTGCCCTAGTGCTTGAGGAAGCGGAGAAGCTAACACTGGGAGGGGTTATGCAAATCTATACTCCCCATACGGTCCGAGCCTTATTGGATGCAAAGGGAGGGCTTTGGCTCACCCAGGCTCGGATTGCTCGGTACCAGGCTAAGCTGTTAGAGAACTCTGAAGTCACCCTACAGCCTTGCCCCTCCCTTAACCCAGCCACTCTCTTGCCAGAAACAGAGGAACAGAAACATGACTGTTCAGAGATCATAGATGTCCAGTACTCCAGCCGTCCGGATATAAAGGATGTACCCCTTCCAAATGCAGATTATGAGTGGTACACTGATGGTAGCAGTACTGTAATAGATGGGCAAAGGAGGGCGGGTTATGCTGTTGTGACGCTCCATGACACTGTGGAAGTTGAAGGTTTACCTGCTGGGATCTCTGCCCAGCTTGCCAAACTAATAGCCCTGACCCGTGCACTTGAACTGTCAAAAGGAAAGCGGGTCAACATTTTTACTGATTCAAAGTATGCTTTTGGTGTGCTGCATGCTCATGCTGGCCTATGGAAGCAAAGAGGAATGCTGACAGCCCAAGGCTCCCCAGTCAAGTATGGGCCCCAAATCCTCCGGCTCCTAGAAGCTGTACAACTCCCCTCGGAAGTGGCGGTGGTACATTGTAAAGCCCATCAAAGGGAGGATCAAGATGTGGCCAGAGGTAACGCCCGGGCAGATAGAGAGGCTAAGCATGCTGCCACCCTGCCATCCCCTCAGACTGAGAACGCCCATATGCATGCCCTTATCCCATCAGTAGGGGAGCTTCCAACCCCTCAGTACTCTGGGGAGGAGAGACAGCTAACTGACAAACTCAGTCTCCGGGAAAAGGAGGGATGGCTCCATTCCCCAGAAGGGAAGGTCCTCTTACCAAAGGGTCTAATCCGGCCAGTGCTGCAAAAACTACATCAAACCACTCATGCTGGCAGGGAAGCACTTATCCAACTAATGGGAAAATATTTTATCACTTCTGGACTCCAACCCCTGGCCGCCCAGGTACAAGCGGACTGCTTAGTCTGCCAAAAGAATAACCCCCGACCGGGACATCCTGTGCCACCAGCTGCCCTAGAACCCACTCCGGGCCCTGGACAAGTGTGGCAAATAGACTTTACTGAGTTTCCCCGGACCCAAGGGTTCAAATATCTCCTTGTTATAGTGGATCAGTTCAGCGGATGGCCAGAAGCCTTCCCATGCCGTAACTGCACTGCCAGAACAGTGGCCCTCAAGTTTGTTAAGGAGATCATTCCTCGCTTTGGACTCCCCCTGTGGATGGAATCTGACAACGGGACACACTTCACATCAAAAATCATTCAAAGCATCTCACATGCCTTACAGGTCCCCTGGAAACTCCATACGCCCTGGAGACCGCAAGCCAGTGGTGTAGTGGAGCGTACCAATCAGACCCTTAAACAGCATCTCTCAAAAGCGTGCCAAGAAGCCTCACTGCGATGGCCTGATGCTTTGCCCCTCATCCTACTCCGTATCCGCGTTCTCCCAAAGGGTAGATTAGGGCTCAGTCCCTTTGAAATTATGTGTGGAAGGGCATGGCCTATGAATGGCACCCCGGTTCAGTCAGGGGAATGGGAGTTGGGTAATGTTTTTTTGTCACAGTATATGTGTTCCCTGTCTGCTGCTCTCTTGTCTCTTCACAGGTATACCAAGGATTCCCAGCCTCTCCCCTTGGACTCTCCTGTCCACTCCTTACAGCCCGGTGACTCTGTGCTTGTTCGCACCTGGAAAGACGAACCTCTCCAGGAAAAGTGGAAAGGACCCTATACCGTCCTGCTGATCTCCCATACAGCGGCAAAGATCGAGGGACACAAGAACTGGATCCCTCACTCTCGTCTGAAGGCAGTACCCACCCCCTCGTCAGCAGAACAGTGGACCGTCCAACCTGCTGACTCCTCATCTAGTGACGATCTCGGGCTAAAGCTACTGTTTAAAAGACACAAATAGCAGACACCTTAATGCTAAAATGGGCCCACCCAGGTATTGGAGACCCTGGGTTGGGAAGACTCTGGTGATAATTAATTGGGTAACATTGTTATTCTCTGTATTGGTATTTCCAAACTGTGCATATTGGGAGCATAACTCCTTTGTTTCGCTTGCGCACCATGTTGCTAATTTAACAAACCAGACTGATTGCTGGGTATGTGCTCCGACTCCACTGTCCCCCAAAACGGGAATGCCCCTTGACATTCTGCCCTTGACCCTAGCAGAATTAGCCACCACCAAAGAGCAGGAAAGAATGGACTCGCCATTCTGGAATAAGACCTCTTTACAGCAAGCCAC